GAATCGCGTTGCACCGGGTGCACCGAGCGCAATCCAAATTACCGGTTCGGGCTAATGTACAAATGATGTCCGATGACGATTGTTCTAATACTTTTCTCCGGGTATATTACTCCGTGAGAACACGAACCGCCTCTTTTTTCAATTTATTATTCTAGTTGGATATTGACACCTGCCTTTTTCCTAGATCCCTTCTAAAATTTGTTTCAATTTTTTTTATTTGTTGTTTAACAAATTAAGTCAAGCTTACGATCATTGGCGAGATTGTATTTAAGCCAAATTGATTGATTTAATTTAAAAAAATATATTGAAATTTTTTTTTATATTGATTTTTATTATTAAATAGTTAATCCATATTTTTGAAATTTCGTGAGTTTGATGTGCGTATTTCTGTAGAAATAAAGCATATTGTAAATATTATACTCTGTCCGATGTACAGAGATGTGAAAACAAATAAATCATTTAGCAGTAAGAAATGATGGGTGTAATCGCAGAATTAATATGCGAGTTCAAGCGCATAAACGCTCGCAAAGGGGTGCAAGAAGGGTAGGGCGAAGGGACGAATTAGGACGATAAAGAAAGAGAGCGAAAGAGATGGCGGGATAAGAGAAGCGACTCTCCTCATCTCTGAAAACTGGTCTGGTGCAGTTGCGGTCTTAGGAACAGAGGAGAGTCGAAGGAGCTGCATTCCCTAGTAATTAGTCTCACCCATAAATTACTGGCTATTTCGCGTCTGTGTTGGTCACGAGTCGGTAACACCCGTTCCCTCCTCCCGCGTCCCGCCACGTTCCAACTTCCCCCGCTGCTCTTCCTACGCTTCTTCGTCTGGTGTTGGTCACTCAAAATTTCTCTCTCGTGGAAATGACATACGAAAGATGCAACGACGGAACGTAATATCTCAGGATTCACAAACGTAAAATTTTGATCGTTACATCTTGTTGTTCTGACATTTATTCCTTTATATGTATTATCTATAAATTATTTCTTATATACATTTTTCGATATCTCTTAATTAAATATGGATTTGCATATAACTGTTTTCTCTCTCTTGAATAAGAATCTACATAATTTTATTACAAAATTGTACAATCGTTTATTACATCTCTTAGTGAACCTGTCAAGAAAGATGTCAACATTTTCCCTACGCGCGATATCGCGTATGAATAACATATCTAGATAAAAACAGATGGACTATTTAGCGGTGGAAAGTTCTAAGTGCCGGGAGATCCGGCACTCTCTTTATGGGAACGAAACGGGCTCATCTTTGCCGTAGGTCCGCGGACCTGTTCTGGACCGAGCGGATCTCTCGGGGCGCCGAAGAAAGGGGCACAGGACCCCGCTGCTAAATGAGCTGTAATATGGACCCCCGCTGAATCTCCCCTCTTCCCGTCGACCCTCCTTGAACCATACTTCGAAGCATTTCTCCTCCTTTTCGTCGCCGCTTAAAACCACTCACGCTGTTTGGCCCGCCGGTTATGATATGACCACATGAGACGACTTCTTCTGCTGTCGACTCTTCCTGCAATATTTTTGCTTCCCGGCTCCCCTTAATTTTTTTTATCTCTTGCTTTTTCATCGCCGCTATTATCGCTTTCGTCTCTATCACTGGGACCGCATCAATGACTGCTCCATTCCTGAGATTACGCGCTTAGGAAAGAAAAAAAAAGAAATACTTATGGAAATACTATGAGGCAGAGAGAAGATTTAAAGCGAATTATTATAGCATTAGCTTTTTTTGAGAGATCAATTTGTCGGATGAAAATGTTCCTGAAAAGCCATTGCTTTCATTGACGGTTAAATTAAGGGTAAAAGAGAATAAATCTAACAATATAAGAGAAACGCCGTTTTTGTTATTGAGCAAACTAGCTCACAGTCTCTTTTGCCGACTATTATTCCGGGAAGTAACGGCGAATGTGGTCGTGACACCGAGAACTATTTCTTGCAATGCTGTTCGGTCAATGAAGCAGTTGACCTACGGTTCGCCGGTCGATCCAGCAATTAGGCCAATCATTCGATCGGCGTTGCAATCGATGACAGGAAAACGGATAGCAAAGAACGATTAATTAAGCTTTTAATAAAACTCTGTTGATTTTACTAGACGCGCGAAATTTCTCAAGGTCGATTACCGTTTTTCTGTCATAGATCGCACGCTACGATTATGAATGATGATTCGCGAAATTAAAGTCGATGAGCTCTTAACAATTCTCAGCTCATCAGTTATATGTGACCATTATATTACGCAGACACAAAGTTGGATGCATAGATTGCAAAATATCGTCATGTATCACCATAGGGCAGTAAACATATTCTCGAAAGCTGTAATTATCGTACGTTATATATGCGTAATGATGGCCATTAAAGGTGTGAACGTCGCTGCCGAAATAAAACGACGCTAAGCTCAGAAACTTGCATGTGTATTATCGAACCGCGTCTGTGCTGTAATAGAATTCGGAGCGGCCGATACTCTGTGAAACGGTGAAGTGCTCGGGAACCGGTAAAGGCTGCGGCCGCGAGCCGCTCGCGGCTTTGTCGTGGCGGCGGAGATGAAAAGGATGTAGCGAGCCACACGCCGACAGCTTAAGCCCTCAATAGCCCTCTACGATGGTGCAGCGTGTACCGAAGCCATGATACGGCGGGAAGAGGCGAGATGGAAGGAGCAGGTCGAAAAGGAGGAAGAGAAAAAGAAGTGAGGGTGAGATGCGAAGAAGGGACCGGCCATGGCGTGGCGACGGCGGGGGACGAAGGGGGACGAGGCATGAGACTCGGCTACCGAGCGGAGAGCTCGCCTTCACAAAGCATCAGAATGGGACTTACCGGGGCCCCGTTATTAGCCCTTACTCGTTTCGTACTCGTATTGGTAAGGGTCGCGTGAGAAAGAGAGAGATCACAGATCTTCTCGCGTCAAACGTGTGTGCGCGCGCGCACGTACACACGCGCGAACCATTCTCGTGTCTTATGTAAAGGCGGACGATGGTGCGGAAAATGTCAGTGTCATCGATACCTGCTTTTCTCGTGGCGCTTCCCGATTCGAGAACTCATCATCCGGTAAAAGAGTTCTCTTTGTCGCGCTATTGGCAAAGGAAAGAGGGATAGAAGAGCGACACGTCGGGCGAGATTCGCTTGACAAGACGCAGTGAAATCCTTATTACGGGAATGAGAGGATAAGAGGGTAGTAGAGAGAGGTAAAAAAGGTATATTCGAGCGTAAGATCGAGATCTCTGGATAATCTTGCGATGGAATCCTTTATTTTAGAAGCAGTAAATCATGGACTCGCAGTTTTTCCTTAGGTTCTCACTTCAAAATTTCGTTATGTCATGTTATCGCGATGATAAGTTAATAATTATTCTCATAAATAATAATTCTATGTAATTTTCTTAATTAGATATAAATTAAAATAAAATTAAGTTTATATATATGTAAATATTAACCGTTACTAAACCTATTTCTATAAAAAATACAAGCCGGAGCATTTAAGCTTACATAGCTGAGATATTTTAATATACTTCATATATTTATTATAATATTGATCTATATTATAATAACACACACACATATTTTAGTATATTTTAATATTACTTTGATACATTTTTAGAATTAACTTAGTATGGACTTTCATGATTTTTTATTTGACATTAATTGCATCGAAACTTTTGTAACAGAACGCTTTTTGAAATTTTCAATCTTTGCTCGATATATTTTATCGTGCCACGAAAATTTATCATATATGTACATCATGTTCAACACATTGGGTCATTTTTTAATATCCTTTTAAAATTGTATTCTCTCTACGGTCTGTTGACGATTCTAGATCGTAACACTGTCATTCGCGTCGCCTAACGTTGATCACCTTGACATTGCGCGTTCGAATCCGAAAGATCGAGGCATATGATCGTACCTCCCTCCGTGGGATCCTAGGCATTGGAGCAGAGAGGAACCCACGCAAGCGGCTTCTCGTGCCCAGCGGGTTCCGTAGGCGAGTTAAAAGAGGAAAAGAGGGGTTCGGTTGCGACTCGTTGCCGCCGAGCGGCGCTCACCTGCCTAGTCCGCAACAGTCTCATACAGTTCGCTCCGGCCAGGAGCTTCGCTGGCGATCGCAGACATCTCTCGCTGTCTCCCCTACCATCTCGATTTTTCCACCTCCGCAGGCTCCCTCTCACAGGTTTTCCACCCTTCTTTCCCCACTCCTCTCCCCTCTCTGTAATTTCCATCCTTGTGTCAGCTTCCCTCCGTACTCGTTCCCGCCTACAATTTTTTGCACGCGTTGCACGAAATTTGCGAATCTACTTCCCGCGATCGATCTGCTTGAATACGGAATTGAAAAATCTTCAACGTCTTCTCTCAAGGGGATGGCCTCCTCCCCGAAGATTGCATCTTTTCGAAAGACGGCGAAATCGAGGATGCACCCGTTGCCGGCTTCGGTGGCGGTGGTCTCGCGGCAGCGGTGGTGATGGTTGTTATGGTGGTGGTGGTGATGGTGGTGCTGGTGCATGGTGAAAAAGAAAAGGAAGAAGAAGAGGAAGAGAAGAAGAAGAAAACGGCGCATATTGGTGGGGCAGCTCTTCTCTCTGTTCCCCAGAATTCCGTTGGTGGGGGTAAGGCAACACTCAAAGATCGTGGTGACGTAGTTCTGGCAGGAACGCGACGCGTTTTTGTCCACGTAGCAAGAAAAGAGAACTTTCCTACGCCTTGTCTGTGCCTTACATAGTCGGCACTTTTGAGAGAGAGAGAGAGAGAGAGAGAGAGAGAGAGAGAGAGAGGGGTTATACATTTAAATATATTTATAATATATTTTTTGTTTTAATATGAAGAAAATGCGAGTTTGCTCTTATCTTTTTTAAAATAGAATAAATGTATGCCGTAAGCGATTCTTAAGCAATGATTTTTCGCTTGCCAATATGCACGTGATTTCATGAACGCAGATCAATATTAGCGACGGTGGGTTTGTTATAAATTGGATTAAATTAAAATCAATTTTATTACACACTCTTTATGCCCTCGGAGCAAGACACGGAAGTAGAGAAAGCGAGGAGAAGGAAGAGGACGTCAAATACTTCGACAGACAGAGAGAAAAAGGAAGAGGGAGTTAGCGGGAAAGAGAAAGAGCCAAAGAGAGAGAAAGAGAAAGAGAGAAGAGGGAGGGTGGTTGGGGTGGGGGAAAAAAGAAGCGGCCGATGATTCAAAGGACCGGAAGTCAGTGGTCCTCTCTCTTCCGGATCTTTCTCGAATTGCAAGCTTCTTTTTCGCAATCTTGAAGACGCATCTCTTACAACAAACTTTGCATTGCCCTCAAACACCCTCAGTGCGATATGATCATGAGGATCAAGCGCACGTCACGATCGTCGTGGTTGCGTGATTTTGAAGCCGTACCTTCGCTTTGCAAGACGTGTCAAGAAACGCAACATCGAGAATAATTCTACGACAAGAACGCAACAATCGAGAAGAACGAAGAACTTTGCGTGTGGCAAATAAATCTTCCGCAAGAGATGTGATCGTTTTTCAATATTATTCTATTGACATCAGTCCTGAAAAAAAAATCTAGTCTTTAGGGAAAACTGCGAAAATATCGTGGAAATTGATTCGAAGATTTCAAGAGAATCTACGATATTCTGCGAGCGAATAATCACACGTCGCAATGTCAAGTTTTATTGGATGGATGGACAAGGGAGTCGCGCGGTAAAGGTGACAGTTCGCGTGCTAATATTTGAATACAAAGGTATATCTGAAATCTAATAGAGGACATACACGGTGAATTCACGACGATTCGCGTCCTATCAATTTCGCAGTCGACTCGGTGAATTCGTGAACATTGCTGTTGCATTTCGTTTCGCGGTTTTTATCGATAATCAGTGAGCAGAGCGGGCAAAGGAAACATAATTGGTAATCTTCCGAAGTGTGCTACCAGGTGCTGAGGGGATGGAAATGCGTTCCGTTTTCGTGGCGATCTGCCTCCTTCTCGTCACTCCTATCACCGGTTCTTTCTGGTGAGTGACTCATCTCGTTCTGCGATATATCTTTCTTTTTTTTTTTGCTTCGGTTACTGTATATATCCTCATCATATCGTAAAATCATGTAATTATATTCATTTACATTAAGTAAAGCCTGTCGCGGGACCACCCAAACGGAATATGTCAAGGTTTCTCTAAAAAGGGTTTATTATTTTGTTTTCATTACTTTTTTTATTAAAAAAGTAAGTAATTTACTATTTTGTTTTGCTCCCTACTTTGTGCATTTGTGCCTTAAATGTGAACATCTAAATTTTTGAATTTTATTTGTCTAATCGAAGATTGTGCAAGCAGTCACGACACAAAATGTCTAGCGTAAGATAAAAGAATCACAGTGGCATGTACCTGTACAAGATCGTACAGGTACAGGTAGCCTTTGCTTTGCGTGCATAACGAGAATTTATATTACACCTTACGAACAAAACAAAATCTTTGCACAATACCTTTCGGTTTTATGAGTCTGACGCATAGTAAATGAAAACGTTTCTCACTATTTTCAACTTGATTATCTTAACGCTCGGTCACGACGGTTGCCTCCACGATAGGAATAACAACGTTCTCACTTCCCTCGTCGAAGTCTCTCAAAAGTGAGATAAAGAGTGACACGTAACAGCCCGGCATGTCCTTAGCGCCGTAACACGTGACGGCCATAAAAACGAGGGTTAAAACAAACATAAGTTATATGTATCTGGTATCTCTGGTAGCTCGTGTTGCTTGCGCTAGGTAAGAAAAAGAAGGAAATATAATTTCTTTAAGAAAGAAAAAGTCCATTTAAGATTCGTCTAACTTGCTATAACGAGTACAGATACATTTCAACGCGATTCCGCCGACGTCACGGCTTTATTTTCGTCACAATTTTCTCTTTCTTACGAAATTTATTTGCTCGCGTTAAATTCTCTATATCAAAGTACCATATGTTACCTAGCTTAGTTCATATATTTTAACGGCTTCGTTATGTAGCAAATTATGTGAGGAAATTCTCATTATATTTAAATAACTTCCTTTTTAGCTAATTGTTATGTTCTCGCTCCAATAATGTTCCAATAATTGTATCTTAAATCTTGTACAAGAACTGCGATGGATTACATAGGAGATTTGTCACTTAGTTGCATTAATGCCAATACTTGGTGAATATGAAGAACTAACGAGTACGCTCCAGTTTCGAGGTGCGTCATCTGGGTTATCAATTATATCGCACGTTACGCGCACGTAAGAGATGAGTAATGGCGCTATAAATTCTCCTTTGGTAGTTATCCATGCTCTTATAAGCAGACTGTGTCTCGAGATTTATAGCTTCATTTTGTGCTAACGCAAGTCGCTTATTACTAACGGCGTGCAAGATACTTCTCTAAATATCTCTTTATTTCTTAGCATGATCCTAAGTGAAATCTTTCCTATTTATGAAATTACTCTACTTTAGCTTGTTCTTAAACTATAATTTTATGATTTCGTTTCGGTTGACGAATGAAATTCTCTGGAATATCGAACGCGTAGCGCGAAATCAGGTGACACTTTCGGTAGCTGCGTGGCTGAAATCCAATTTATCTCGACGAGTAATAATAAATCACTCGGTAGTGCGACACATTCACTGTGTACTACACTTTGTTATGCAAATGTTTACACGATGATAGACCGTTATCGTGCCCGTGTCACTCGGGATTACACAGCATCCGGAGACGGACCATCTCGTAACTATCTTTTAACGAGCGCAGCGCGCGCGCGTGAACTTTGCGTGCATCATAACAAGGTGAAAATTATTTAATTACTATCACGTACCGCAAACATTAATTACTACACACACGATTATTAAATAAATATTATCAAAACAATTCTAATCACACATTCTAATGGATCGTAGATTTTTTTTGTTTATACGAGTAAAATGGTTCTTCGAATACGACGGGGTAAGGATTGTTCGCAGGATACCTCTTAGGGACGAAGAAGGAGAGACCCTCTCGAGATCCGTTAAATATTTGTTTTCGATTTAAAGCGGATTTCTGCGTTCTGACGATGTTATGAGTCCGCACCTCGTTGCTTTCTGGCACAACCGTCGTTCACGGTGTGTTTGATAAATATATTAGGAAGATGAGACGGTTTGGTGTGTTTCGATAACAGGTATTTAACGGTTAGACTGGAAACTTCTTGCTCTTTTCTTTTCCGCGTGCTTCGTTTATTATCTGCAAGTTAATCTACGGCTACTATCGTACGAAGATACGTATCGCATTGTTTTATGTGTTTCAGCAGTAATAGCGGTGCATATGACAGGCACATAAATTTAATCTCGCATGTATAAATAGATCTCATAAATTTACTAGAATTATTATTTATATCTATGTACTGGGTTTTATAAATGTGAGCAGAATTATCATCTTTTTATTATTTTATTATATTGATATTGCTAAAAATAGCATGGCTATTGACCATACCATATTACAGTGATATATGTAATGGAATATAAATAGAATCAATAAATTAACGTCAATGCAATGTATAAATTTTTTCATTACTTTACGTGAAAAAACAATCAAGTGAAACGATTAGAGTTACGCGTTGCTTTGCTATAATTTTATTGCTTTTATACTTGCACATTGTATCTCAATATATTCAAATTAAATGAAAAGAATTTGGAGCATCTTGATAGATCAGAGTTATATATAAGATTAAGAAATGTTGAAATTTTAAATAATGGAGATTCACGAAAATGTTTCCATTCGAGAGCCGGCGAGATTCGTCATCTCTGCGATCCTCATTCCTGCGGAATGCCATCCCTGCTCCGAAAATATCGCGAGGTCCATAAATCAGTCTCTCGTACGATCGTTCGTCATCGAGTCGCGCATTACGCCCTTCTCGCGAGTCCTCCTAGGGCCCGCGAGGACCCGGAGCCCCGATTATCCGATTGGAACCGGATTCCCTTTCGTCGATCGGCACTCGTTCTCATGTGCTCGCGCGAACGCCGCGTCCTTCCGTCCTTCTCGCGCGGTCCTCTGGGAACGAAGGGACTCGCGGAGAAGACGGAGGAGGATGGGCGATTCACGAGGGGACAAAGACGACCAAGTGGAGGAGTAAAGAGGTAAAGAAGTGAGCGAGGATGGACAATGGTCTCGCTCAAAGCGTCACCCGTAAATCTCGTTGAGCGCGTATAATTTGTAAGTCGGCGGGAGCCCCCTTACGTTCCCCCCGCTCCCCTCCCCTTTTCGTCCTCCGGCAACCGCGTTGCCTGCGTTTCTTCCCTTTCTCGCTCCGAGATCCGGGGAGCCTTAACCAAGGACCGGAGATATACGGAGTTCGTTCCACGTTCCTACGCAGCTTTCGTTTCAATCGCGTATCCCTTGGCGACTCGTGCATTTCTTCGGAGTGTTACATATTGAACGCGATATACTGTCGGTTTTTATATCGATATACAGGGTAGAAAAACAATACGCTCGATCGCGAAACTATCAGACAATGCTATTTTTTATTTTCCAAAATCTCTTTTTATTCAGGGATCAAATAAAGAAAGAGGTGATTATAATTTCAAAGCATAATTAAATGACGTACTCTTTTTCCTATATAATCAGCTGTCAAACGTACACGTACTGTGTTTACTTCGAAAAATGAAAGAAGTGGTGCTGGCTCTTTGCCAGCGCATAATAGTTATTTTAGAAATATCACAATATTGAGGAATCATGCAGATATAAAACATGATTCCACAATCATAATAGTAATAATAGAATCATATAACAGCGTATTCTCAGAAAAGAATGACGTTTAACATAGAGGCTTTTCATATAAATGGAGTGCATCGAAACAAATTTTCATAGACAGTTCCTGCCTACGGTCATATTTTTTAATTGTCTAATTTGCGATTGCGCAGTTTCTCGTTTGATGCGATTTTTCCGTTACTAATCTACGATCTTGAATTACATTTTTATGGAATTGTGCGTGAAATTGAGAGGATTATACCGTGATTATCAATTACGTTACGGACCATTCCGATTTTCATACGAGGCGGTTATCATGCCCGCGATTCGCGTTAATGATACGCGCGTTTTCACGCGCCGCTTCGTCTCCGCGATGCGATCGAGCGGCGGATAGTCGCGCGAGATCGATCGCAGATTCGCGGCGCGTAAGTAGATTCGAGAGCGCGGCGAGATAAATGGACCGCATCGATGTATCGTAACGGCGATTCCCGTCGAGTCCCGGCGATAATACGATAGCGGACTCGCAAACCCGGCCAATGGGCCGCGGTGGGCAGTCCACGGCTACCATCCCGCTGGTTGGACAACTCGATCTGCTCCCCCACGCTCTCACCTGGACCATTCTCTCTCGCGCGTTCTCTCACCTGCCGTATATTCATAATCATAAGACTGAATTCACCGCGTGCGTGAGCGGGCGCATGCGCTTTTAGATACGTCGTGGGCAGTAGAGCTATGAGCTGCGGATTGCGAACGATGGAGAGCACAGGTGTGGATTTGTTTATTTAAAAAATTCAATCACACGTGTGTAATTGAATGAGTCTGTCGATGACGAGAACCTGTGTTATGCAATGGTGTTGCGCTTGATATCTTTTTTTTTTATACAGCTTGAATTATTTGTTTAAACTTTTTGATCTCTCTTTTTTTAAATAAGTTTCCTTTTTTACAAATAAAATGATATGAATAGATACTTATTTGTTTGAAATTTGCAAGAAATTTGTAATAAAAATTATATTTTTAATATAAAAATTTCGGGAAAAAATGATTATACATTTAAATATATTTATAATATATTTTTTGTTTTAATATGAAGAAAATGCGAGTTTGCTCTTATCTTTTTTAAAATAGAATAAATGTATGCCGTAAGCGATTCTTAAGCAATGATTTTTCGCTTGCCAATATGCACGTGATTTCATGAACGCAGATCAATATTAGCGACGGTGGGTTTGTTATAAATTGGATTAAATTAAAATCAATTTTATTACACACTCTTTATGCCCTCTATAATAATTTATGATGCGTTTC